GCCAAGATGTAGTTTAAAGTGCCAAGTGCCTGGATGGGAGCTGAATGGATGCCTTGCTTCAGTTGCCTCTGGCAGGGCAAGGTAGAGATGTAAAAAGCAGGCTACCTTGCTGGAAGTTGAGGCGACGCCTTGCTTCAGCTGCCCCTGACTGGCCAAGATGTAGTTTTAAAGTGCCAGGTGCCTGGATGGGAGCTGAATGGATGCCTTGCTTCAGTTGCCTCTGGCAGGGCAAGGTAGAGATGTAAAAAGCAGGCTACCTTGCTGGAAGTTGAGGCGACGCCTTGCTTCAGCTGCCCCTGACTGGCCAAGATGTAGTTTAAAGTGCCAAGTGCCTGGATGGGAGCTGAATGGATGCCTTGCTTCAGTTGCCTCTGGCAGGGCAAGGTAGAGATGTAAAAAGCAGGCTACCTTGCTGGAAGTTGAGGCGACGCCTTGCTTCAGCTGCCCCTGACTGGCCAAGATGTAGTTTTAAAGTGCCAAGTGCCTGGATGGGAGCTGAATGGATGCCTTGCTTCAGTTGCCTGTGGCAGGGCAAGGTAGAGATGTAAAAAGCAGGCTACCTTGCTGGAAGTTGAGGCGACGCCTTGCTTCAGCTGCCCCTGACTGGCCAAGATGTAGTTTAAAGTGCCAAGTGCCTGGATGGGAGCTGAATGGATGCCTTGCTTCAGTTGCCTCTGGCAGGGCAAGGTAGAGATGTAAAAAGCAGGCTACCTTGCTGGAAGTTGAGGCGACGCCTTGCTTCAGCTGCCCCTGACTGGCCAAGATGTAGTTTTAAAGTGCCAAGTGCCTGGATGGGAGCTGAATGGATGCCTTGCTTCAGTTGCCTCTGGCAGGGCAAGGTAGAGATGTAAAAAGCAGGCTACCTTGCTGGAAGTTGAGGCGACGCCTTGCTTCAGCTGCCCCTGACTGGCCAAGATGTAGTTTTAAAGTGCCAAGTGCCTGGATGGGAGCTGAATGGATGCCTTGCTTATAATGGATTTCCTTGTCAATATTTAGTGCAGCTAAAACCTCACTCTGGTTGTAGTTTATTTATTTGTTTACGACATTTATATGCCACCCTTCTCATCCCGAAGGGGACTCAGAGTGGCTTACAAGATATATATACATACAATATATTATATTATTAGCATAGTACAATATTACTATATTGTACTATTCCATTATATTGTAATATTAGTAATATTACATGTAATCTATATATATAAAATGCTCTGTGAATAATGAGTACCTTAAAAACAAAAGAACGAAATCACACCAAATTTGGCAACAAAACGTCTCACAACACAAGGAGTGACCATCACTCAAAAAATTATGATTTTGTCATTTGGGAGTTGTAGTTGCTGGGATTTATAGTTCACCTACAATCAAAGAGCATTCTGAACTCCATCAATGATGGAATTGAACCAAACTTGGCACACAGAACTCCCATGATCAACAGAAAATACTGGAAGGGTTTGGTGGGCATTGACCTTGAGTTTGGGAGTTGTAGTTCACCTACATCCAGAGAGCACCCAAACAATGATGGATCTGGACCAAACTTGGCACAAGCACTCAATATGCCCAAATATGAACACAGATGGAGTTTGGAGGAGATAGACCTTGACATTTGGGAGTTGTAATCACTGGGATTCACAGTTCACCTACAACTTCCCACACTGAACCCCCATGACCAACAGAAAATACTTAAGGCCATCCAATCCAACTCCCTTCATTGGGGCAAGAAAACATAATCAAAGCCCTCCTGACAAATAGCCATCCAGCCATAGATATAGAAAGATAGATATATTCACACACACAGAGATATAGTATCATAGATTTGAAAGGGACCCTTAAAGAAGGACAATGATATCTTGCATGTTCCAGGGTGGGCAAACCAGACACTCTCCACATCAACACTGACAAAGAAACAGCAAGAAATACTGTTTACCCACAAGCATAAAGAAATTACATATATTAGAAACCAACATTTTCTCATTATTTTATTTTCCAGATCAACAGACTGGGCCACAGCAACGCGTGGCAGGGGACAGCTAGTACTGTATAAACATATAATTATAATATCATATTATTTTTATTAGTATTATATTGTATTACATTATAATATTATAAATATTATATGTATATACATTTATATTATATTATATTATATTATATTATATTATATTATATTATATTATTAGCATAGCACAGGAGTCAAGGTAGAACTGTCCCCTGCCCCCCTCTCTCTTCACTCTGGCCCAGTTGTTGCTGTTGGTAACTGTCATCATGTTGACTTGGACTCATGACATGTCTCTTCACTGTCCAGCTTTCACACATAGAAACTGGAAATACTATGACACACAGTATGGACCCTAATATACCACATTATTATTAACTGCCATCAAGTCAACCTCAACTTATTGTGACTCCATGAATGAGAGACCCTCAAATCCCCAGATCATCAATAGCCCTATCTAGGGTCCTTTCCACATAGCCCTATATCCCAGAATATCAAGGCAGAAAATCCCACAATATCTGCTTTGAACTGGGTTTTATGAATCCACACTCAGATAATGTGGGATTTTCTGCCTTTATATTCTGGAATATAGGGCTGTGTGGAAGGGTCCTAGGTCTTGCAGATTCAGGGCAACCATGGCTTTCCTTGATCAAGTCTATCCATTTGCTGTCAATCTGGTGAATCATGTTTTTTCATAATATGACTAAAGCATGACAATATCTTTTGGTCATGTTGGCTTATAGGTAGAGTTCAGGCTTGCTTTGCTCTAGGACCAATTGATATGTCATTCTATCATCCCCCAGTGGCACAATGGATTAAACCCTTGTGCTGGCAGAACTGCTGATCGAAAGGTCAGTGGTTTGAATCTGGGGAGTGGGGTGAGCTCCCATCTGTCAGCTCCAGCTTCTCATATGGGGACATGAGAGAAGCCTCCAACAGGATGTTAAAACATTCGGGTGACCCTGGGCAATTTTCTCACACCAGAAGTGACTTGCAGTTTCTCAAGTCGTTCCTGACATGAAAAAAATCAGCACTGGTATCTGCAGAAAATCCAACCAGTCCATACTTCAGGAAATAAAGCCTGACTGCTCATTGGAAGGAGGGATATTAGAGATGAAGTACTTTGGCCACATCATGAGAAGACAGGAAAGCTCAGAGAAGACAATGATGCTGGGGAAAATGGAAGGGGAAAGAAAGAGGGGCCAACCAAGGGCAAGATGGATGGATGGTATCCATGAAGTGACTGGTGTGACTCTGAAGGAGCTGAGGGTGGGGACAGCCAACAGGGAGCTCTGGCATGGGCTGGTCCATGAGGTCATGAAGAGTCGGAAGCGACTGAACGAATAAACAACAAATCTGAAGAACTCTTCTCCAACACCACATTTCAAATAAGTTGATTATCTTCTTCACTGTCCAGCTTTCACAACTGTGTGTAGAAAGGGAAATACAATGGCATAGACAACCCAAAATTTAGTATTCAATAATGTAACTTCAACATATCTTCAAAATGTGGTGTCTAGACTATGCATACCACAAAAGAGGGCTTCAGCATGCTTTAAGCCTAATAATCTGATGCAAACAAAGTTGGAGAAGGTATGAAATGAAGCCTTAATGTGCATCAGCATGCTGTAATGTAAATCGCGTGGCAGGCAAATTCAGCTCTGCAGAATGTGAATCACTGTGCAAACACCATTCCACTGATGTACACACGTGGATCTCAGAGGAGCTAGTTGGAAAAAAAAATCCCACATTGTCCATAGCTGTCAAGCTGCAAATACTGTGGATCCTGGATCCAGTTTGACACTGGCCTCTCTCTCTGTGTAATCACCATCCAGACTTCAAACTGGTTCTAGGGTTTATAATAATCCAAACAACCAAACTGCTTTCTTCAATACTAGTTTCAAACTGACTTAAGTGGTCAGTGTAGATATGCCCCATAGTTTTCTGATTTCTCCATTTTTATTAAAGACTGAACCAAGTTATGGAAAATCTTCAGCTACCAGTATTTCAATGCCATCCTTTCTTGTTTCATATATGGTCAAAGGCTTTGTTGTAAAATTTTGAGCATCAACTTCCTTTCAGGGGAGATTAATGCAATAACCTTGCAGTTGTTTCAATCTCTATTCTCCCCATTCTTAGATATTGGAATGTATATCAAGCATTTACAGTCTTTGGGCAATTGTTTTGTTTTCCTTATTTGTTGACAGATTTTAGTTAGCACAAAAATAAATCCTGTCTCTGTAGATTATAACAGCTCTATTGGTATGTCATCTATTCCTGGTGATTTATTTCTCCCAAGTGCCCAAAGTGTTGTTTCTACTTCATTTTTTAAAACTGGAGTTTTATCTTCAAATGGTTCTTCCTTGAAAGAATAATAGAATCATAAAGTTGGAAGAGACCTCGTGGACAATCCAGTCCAACCCCCTGCCAAGAAGCAGGAAAATCTGTTCAAAGCACCCCCAACAGATGGCCATCCAGCCTCTGTTTAAAAGCCTCCAAAGAATGAGCCTCCACCACACTCTGGGGCAAAGAGTTCCACTGCTGAACAGCTCTCATAGTCAGTAAATTCTTCCTAATGTTCAGGTGTAATCTCCTTTCCTGTAGTTTGAAGTCATTGTTCCACATCCTAGTCTCAGGACAGCAGAAAACAAGCTTGCTCTCTCCTTCCTATGACTTCCCCTCACATATTTATACAAGGCCCTTATCATATCTCCTCTCAGCCTTCTCTTCTGCAGAATAAAAATGCCCAGCTCTTTAAGCCGCTCCTCATAGGGCTTGTTCTCCACACCCTTGATCATTTTAGTTGCCCTCATCTGGACACATTCCAGCTTGTCAACATCTCCCTTAAAATGCAGTGCCCAGGATTACAGTATCAGACATATTCTCATCTTTTTGTATAAAGTTTTTCAATGTGTTTCCATCGATTTTTGTCCTTGGTCATGTAATGTATTCTACTGATTGTAGAACATTCACTCTTGGTTTACATTTCTCTTTGATTTCTCAGATCTTGTGGAAGAGGTCTCTGGTTCTTTCTTTCTTTTTTCTGCTGCCATAGCCTATTGTTCTACATTGGTTATAGTAAGTATTTTTTCCTCCTGCACACTGTTGCTTTTAATCTGTCCTTAACTGTCTCAGGAGTTTTATCTGTCATCCATTGTGACAACATTTTTCTTTTTGGCTACAAATATTATCTTTTTGCATTCCTCTCTGACAATGTGACTGGCTTCAGTCCAGAGTTCTTCTGGCTCCTGATCAACTAAGTTTAATAGCACAAATCGGTGTTTTTACATTTCTTTAAATTCTAAAGAACTACCTTCAGATTATATTTTGGCAGGATGGTTACTTTAGTATTCTTCTTTAGCTTTACTCTATATATTTTATATTAGCAGTTTATGATCTGTGTCACAAATCTGCTCCAAGTCTTTGTATTTTTGCTGAGAGAGTGGAGCGCTTCTGTCTTCTGCTTCCAATTAGGCAGTCTGTTTGATTTCTACATAGACAAATCAAGTGATGTCCATGGATACAGTCACCTCTTTGTTTGCTTGAAGAACGTGTTTGCGACAAAAAAAACTATTGTCCTCACAAAATGTAACCAGTTGCTCTCCTATTTCACTTAGGCCAAATTCTCCTACTGTCTTTGATTCTGTTTTGTTACCCAATCACCTATGGATAACAGGAAATCCTATTTTGGTTTGTATCAATTTCCTCCTTTCGATTTATGTTTCTGTAGTTGGATCATATACTTGGATTTTTGTCATACTGATCCGTTTCCCTTGAAGTCTCACTGATATACTTCAGTCAGACTTTGTATTTTACACTTTGACTGCTTTTGCTACATCTCACCTCCCTATTAATGGGATCCTGTTTCTCCTTAGATTTTCATTTCCTGAGTAAAAGACTGTGTAATGATCTGATCCAAAATGTCCCATTACTGGGCAAACCTCAACAAGATAGTGAAGTGGAAAACAGCCCCCTTGTTAGCTCCCGAAGAGAACGTTACCAGTGGCTTGGGTCACCTTCAGACTGGTGGGGATTCCTCCCTGGTATGGAAAGATTGAAGAGATTCTTCAGATAAGCTCTAGTTTCTGCTTTCTAATGCTGTTTAGGCATTTGTTTTGACATCTGCCACAGCATGGAGATACCAGAGCTAAGAAGAAAGTCGTTGTTCCCTCAGCATGAACTACGCCAACCTGCTTTTTTAATGAAGAAAAATGGAAGAATATTTTGTGAAATTCATTCCTGCATGTTGAATCAATAATCCTGCCTTTCAGGTGAATGACCTTCTGCATGCTTAAGATCTTTTAAAGGAATCTAGCAGAGAAATTCTAACTGCTAAGGAACTCCTCCCTTACAAGATGATTTAACAGACATCAAGGAAGGCCATTGAAAGCTAATCAATTTTCAGAGTTAAAGAGTGGGACATTTATTAGCTATAACCCTAGCAATTAGCAAAGGGTTAGGTTTTGTTTGTACAAAGCCAAAACAAAGGAAAGTTTCCATGCTGAAAAATACACTAAAAGTAAATATCTGAACCTTTGGAGGCAGAACTCCCCCCTTTGTTGGTTATAGCAACCTATTGAGGAAAGAAGTATACTAGGGTACCACTGTGTATTCAACTGCAGTAGTCAATTGTGAATATTAGGATACCAAAAAGGACTCAGAAGAAATTTACATTATAAAGCCACTATGAGCTTAAATAAGCAAAAGCCGATGGTTCCTTACCCAGATTCTTAACTAACTGGAATTGACAAGAGCTGTCAGTGGAATTTAAAGAGATTCATATCTCATTGGACAAATTCACTGGCCAGCTAACACAGAGAAATCAGAAATTAGTAAAACTGAAATTTGGGACTCAAAAACAGACATAAATGTTAGGAAAATCAGGTCCCTTCCACATAGCCATATAACCCAAAATATCAGAAAATCTCACAATATCTGTTTTGAACTGGGTTATCTGAGTCCACACTGCCATATGATAAAGATAAAGGTTTCCCCCTGACATTAAGTCCAGTCCTATCTGATTCCAAGGGTTGGTGCTCATCTCCATTTCTAAGAGCCAGCGTTGTCTGTAGACATCTCCAAGATCAGGTGGCCAGCATGACTGCATGGAGCGCCGTTACCTTCCCGCCGAAGCGTTACCTATTGATCTACTCACATACCTATGTTTTCGAACTGTTAGGTTGGCAGAAGCTGGGGTTAACAGCAGGAGCTCACCCTGCTGCCTGAATTCGAACCTGTGAGCTTTCGGTTAGCAAGTTCAGCAGCTCAGCCGTTTAACCCACTCTACCCATATATTCCTGTTCAAAGCAGATAATGTGGAAGGAGCCTTAGAGCACAACAAGGAGGAAATCCTGGAAGTAACGAATCTCCCAGAGGTGAAAGAGCAGAGCAAAATAATCCATGCACAAGATCTGCTGAATCAGCTGATGGAAGTGATATGTTTCATGGTGTCTGAGGTCCTTACTGATCTTGCAGAAGTTCTATACAAAGATCACACCGGTGTGGTGAATGAGATCTATTGAAAGGATTCATAAGAGATCGGTCAGAGAAAGCTTCATAGATATGTGGTGATGAACCTTATAAGATGGCAGATTGGTCATCTGATTCTTTATCAGAGATGGGGAAGCAAGGTTGACATATAAAGGGGAAGAGAAAAGCAGGAGGAATGCATCCCTAGAGAATGAAGAATGATAACGGCTGGTGAAGATTTGTGAATCTGTTGAGATAAGCTGATGAAGGGAAATATTTGTCCAACTACAAGCAAGACTGGGACTTACTCATTTACTTCTTATAATAATGAGGGGGGATTTGTTTATTGTGGGCTTTAGGAATTAGTTGAATGTTATTATAAGTAGAAGGGTGATTATATAACAGCATTTAAAGGGAAAAGAGTAAATAGAGATAAAAGTCAGCGTTCAGCAAGAGGTTTGTATATTAGTGTTTCTGTCAGTTAGTTTTGTTCTTATTGTATAGGTTTGTGTCCTGGTTCTTTCTATGTTTACTAAATAGTTCTTTAAAAAAATAAAATTGTGTTTTGTTTGTTTTTCTTTTTTTAAAATATTTTAAAAATATTATTTTACAAATTTTATTTCATTTTCAGTTTTATAACATAAAGGGAAGGGGAGAAAAATAAACAAAAGTATGTTTATACACACAAAAAGTATGATATAGGTTACGGAGTTTTGTTCATAAATTAAATCTACACAGGAGTGTGTTGTATTGCCAGTGATGTGTAAAGGGAGGGTATTGTTGTACATATTCTCTAATATATAAAGAAATTCCATCTCCAATGTCTTGTATATCAAGAGCAAGTAGATTCTTGTCACCTGACGTTTGCGTTAATATTCTGTCTTTTCATGTTGTCCCATCTTTTTCTTGTCTTCTCCAAGCCTGCATAGTAAGTGTTCCTTCTAATTATTTTATTAGTTTTACTTATACATACTCCATTTCCCCCCTAGTTTTAATAATATCCATTTAAATATCCCTGAGTTAATTTCCTTTGTTAATAGTAATACATATGCAAATACTTGTTATATTAGTCTATAGCAGGGATCCTCAAACTAAGGCCCGAGGGCCAGATACAGCCCTTCAAGGTCATTTACCCGGCCCTCGCTCAGGGTCAACCTAAGTCTGAAATGACTTGAAAGCACACAATAACAACAACAATCCTATCTCAACAGCCAAAAGCAGGCCCACACTCCCCATTGAAATACTAATAAGTTTATATTTGTTAAAATTGTTCTTCATTTTGATTATTGCATTGTTTTTAAGTGGGGTTTTTTTTGCACTACAAATAAGATATGTGCAGTGTGCATAGGAGTTCATTCATGCTTTTTTCAAATTATAATCCAGACCTCCAACAGTTTGAGGGACTGTGACCTGACCCTCTGTTTTAAAAGTTTGAGGACCCCTGGTCTATAGTCTATGCAGGTTCTCTCTTTCTCTCTCTGTATATATGTATGTGTATACGCACACATACATACACAACAACATTTATTATGGTCCATAGACCCATTAGTGAACAAACAGTCATTAATAAATTCTCCCATCTCATCCAAAATTAATATACGTGTTTTCAAGTAATACCCCTATCCGAGGTTAGTTTCTTTCTCAGCCTTGTTGCCATTGCAAGGTATTTTGCCACTGTGAGGGTCACCCTGTGGCATTTGTCCTCTAAAAGATATCTAACAATCCCCTACGGGGGATGGCTGGTCATGCGGGACAAAATTGGATATAAGAGTTGGCTACGTTGCACTGTGTAATAGCAGCACTTCAATAAAATGTGTTCTATTGTTTCTACTTCATTTCCTTCACAGGGACATAGTCTTTGGGATTAAGGAGTTCCAGACAATCTACCTCTTAGCAGCTCAAAGGGAAATAAATTTAATCTCACCTTTGTAAAAAAATATGTGATATTAGATCACTGCAAGGCTTTTTCGATATTCGCATGTCTTTAATGGCTTTCCGTATGGCAAGTTTGAGTTTCTGGGGAAGCATGGTAAATTTGAGCAGGCTCTTAGGTCTCCCAGGGCAATATCTCGCAACCTTTGCTTCAGGGATTCTTGTGCCATTTTGAATCCCAAATGGAGCAAAAGGGATGTGGATACTACAAATGAGACCGCTTTCTGTCCATTCCTCCTCGCCCAAAGGGGTTTGGAGGCTTCACGATATAGATAGGTAGATAGATAGGTAGGTAGGTAGATAGATAGATAGACAGATAGATAGATAGATTCATATAGCTGTATAATCCACATCATTGAAATTATATGCATTTCTATTCTGATTTAGAAGTATTAACCCTCAGTTATCATCCATCTTTTGAGTATTAGAATATGGAATATATTCATCTATTATTCGTATTATTTTTAGTTCACAAATCCTGTTTTTTGTTTTTGAATAAAAAATTTTTTTAAAGTCGCACTATTTACACTTTAGTCTGTTGGAAATAGCAACCTTCTACAAGCCTCCTATACTAGTAATTAGTTATGCATATAGTTCAGATTGCTTACTATATTGTACATGTATGTATTGGTATGCAGATTTCCTTAACTCTATGTTGTGGGAGGAACTGCAGACCA